CACCTAACCTAACAAACATCATAGCCTGGCCTAGCCTACCTTAAGCATGCTAAGAATAATTTCCTTTGCCTACAGTTGGACGAAAGATCATTAACACAAAGCCTATTTTATAATAAAATGTTGAATATCTCATGTAATGTATTGAATAATTTATTGAAAGTGAAAAACATTTACTCAATATAAAGTCAAGATATCGTAACTATATATGCATATACAGTACTGTGCAAAAGTCTTAGGCAGTCCATAGAAATGTTTAAAGCTGTTTATCTGGGCAGCAAGTGTACTTTGGCTTAGAACAAAAAACACAATTTAACATTAGAACATGTGCAAATTAAGAGTAACACAATAAAAACTAGTAATAATTTCTTCTGTTTTCTAAAAAGTTACTGATATCTAGTTGGATGTCTAGATGAACACTGCTTCAGTTCCCAAACCTCTCCTCAGGGGCACCTCAGCCGTTCCATGATTTAGTTAAATTTCACCAACAGCTCAATTAAATAATTAAATAAATTGGTTTAAAAAGTCATTGACAGATTGACTAGCTGTATGAGCTGTGCTAGTGGCCAAGTCAAAAAATACATGGCTGCACTGGACGGTCGCTGCAAATACTGGGATGATATTAGCATATTATGAGGTTCTGAAATGGCTAAGCTGACACACTTTGACAGGCATAATATCATAGTTTTACACCAACACGAGGATAATCTAAACATTTTCTTTGCCTGCCTAAGACTTTTGCACAGTACTGTATATATATATCATCTGCATAATACTACACTGGAATATATTTTAGTAGGTCTGGGCAAGCATTTCGTAAAGACCTGTATGTCCTGTGAGTGTCTTTATGATTCCAGTACAGGATGAATGTGAGATACATACAGATGGACATCAGCAGCAGAACTCTGAAGCATTGGTTTAGCATTCCTGTGTGGAGGACAAACCAGCAAACAGCACCAACAAAATACTGTCAACATGAACTCCTCTCATAAGCAAAAAACAGTAAGCAGAATCAATGGTGCAAAATAAATACATTCTTCAGATTTAGCACATAATACATTTTGTTTGTATCGGGTAAACTCAAAAAATATTTATTTCAAAACCTGAAACAAGAATCATCCATCCATTCATCTTCCAACAGTTCATCCGTACAGGAGAGCCGTGAATAACACTGATCATTAAAAAAGCCAAGACTAAGATTAACGACACGATATGTGGGAATCCTAATGAACAAGGAAGACAGTACAGATCGCTGACTGGCTGTGTGGATCTCAGCGGATTTAGGCTCTAGGTGTCAGAGGAGTGGCGAGGCTGCTTTGCTAAACCCCGGACTTTTTGAAGACCCCTTTGATCAAAACATTGGCTCCGGACATGACTGCCAGACACCTCCAGTAGCCGGGAAAACACCGGTGGCTCTGGGAAAGTATTTTGGTTGATTATCAGATGTCCAAATGATCCCTCAGATCAGTGCAGGAAGAATGTTTAAGTAGACTTCTTGATAAGAGATTCAAAGGCTTAGCCTAAGGCCCTTCACAGAGGCCCAGGGGGTGAATATAGATTTTTTTGTTCTTCATGTTCTTTGTTTAACTCTTTGGTTTAACAAATTCATGTTTTTTTCTTGTATTGCAATGCATCTTTCTAGATTAGTCATAGCACATGCAGGTAGTGTAATTCATGAAAGTAAGGGCTAGCTTTCTTCTGACTTGCATGGGGCTAAAAATTCTATTTCCTGCATTTGAACCTCAAGCTCTTCAGCATCTTCATTTAGTGGCACACGATGTATCATCACACTGTACCCCCCCCCCCCGGCACTACACCTCGCTGCAGTACACCAGCATCACCGCTGAGGCGATAAGGAGAAGCACTGAGACTCAGCAGGGTGGGGGGGGGGACTCCTGGGGGAGGGACGCGCAGTTACGCCAGGGTGAGCAACACACTGCAGTGAGGGCCCCCGGTCTGGGGGGGGGGGGGGGGGGTAGTGATGTGTGATGGCGAGAGCCGGGTCAGCCAGTCCCCAGTGCATTCGGGGTTAAGGCCCTTGCTCATGGCCCAACAGTGACACCACTCTGCCAGGCATTGGATTTAAACCAATATCCTTCTGATCACAGAGGCACACAGCAAAATTCATATCACCACATTGGAACCTCAGACTTTCAGGTTGCACGCTCGGCACCCTACAAGCACACTCACGGACAATTTGGTAAGGCCAATTCATCGTAGTATATTTTTGGAACATGGGGGCAATCTCCACACGTGGCACCATGGCAGAGACTTGAACCCTGGTCCCAGAGGTGTGAGACAATGGTGCTAACCACTGCAACACCCTATGTGTTTATGTGAGTATTTTTACTTGCCTAGGGGGGAACAGGGTAGCTGGAGGTCAAATATGCAACTACTTGATACCCTCTTCCCTTCCTTGTCACCTTTTGGGGGGTCCACCCGTTCCTCTCCCCTAACCCCCTTTCCTGGATGGAGGTCACGTTTTCCGTGAGGGAGTCACAGGGACTGGGGTGCTCCTTATGGAGCTAGCGGCTCTGTTTAATCATCTTACTGTACTTTGCATCTTGCTCGTGCTTCTGTGGAAGGACATTGGGGTAGATATAATGTTCATGAGGCTTTTCATTTGGGCCTGTATGGGAGATGCAGGAGATGGGGCATCACTTGCGGTATTAAAAGTCACAGCAGCCCCTGGATTAATAAGACCAGTGACCTGGAGAGATTTGTCGATTTACAGTGGCAGCATGGGATGGGTGGCACTATAAAACACACAGTGGCTGACGTTTATTACCGCGAGGGGGTGCGGCCTGTAACTGCGGCATCTCCAAGTGCTCGGAACATCATGCCGCATGCGATTTAACAGCCGGAACACGGTTTGCTCATCGGTAAAAATGAAGCACTTTCACCGGCTGGTAGATTGTGTCTGCAGTCCTCTCCTCAACATGCCACTCGTCTTTTTTGTGATGCTGGTGGCAGTTTGCCAGCGTAAAAAAAAAAAAATCAAGGTTAAAGTGAAGCCGGCTAGCCCACCAGAAGTGGGTCACCCACTGGATTGACCTGGCAGAGGTATTTACTCAGGATGTTTTTTTATTTTTCTGCGGTCTGCGTGTCCTCCATGGAATTACATTCCATGTCGGAATCATTAGTTACGAGCTCCACTGTCCAAGATCATTCTGCTGTTTCTTTCACTCCTTATGTAACCTGCAGGCTTGATTTGAAATGTGGAAGATACATATGGGTCCTCACCACCATAATCTCAAGATGTTGTCATTCATCACATTTTTTCATCATTGGAATCCCTCTTGTACGTTTTGCACTCAGTGACCCTCGTTAACGTTTCTGGAACATTCCTGGGTGTCGCCGATTAGTGGAAGCCCTTCTTTGCCAGCCGAGTCACCGCACGTCACTCCTGTGTGATGTTCACCTTGTCTCCTATCAAGTGTATCCTGCTAATGAGCAGCTCGTCTCCATACTGGTGGTGTCTCCTCCTACAGCCCCAAGGGGAAGCGCTTCTCTCCTGTTTGCCTTTTCCTCAGACAGAGTGCAGCATGCATTAAACCCCAAGCACTTCATTTATCTGAAGATTCCGCGTAACACTGTGGGATCAGAACAGACCATATCTAAAGACACTTCTACTATCTTGTGTATTTGTAAACAGGTGAGTTGTCTGCTTATGTGCCATTTCATCCCCACCGCGTTTACCGTTTTGCATGCCACGGTAACACGCCTGAACGTGTCAGACTGCGGAGGAGTATATGCTTGATGCTCATTTAGCTCAGCTAGACCACAGGTTTTTTTTAATGAAATGCTAATTTTTAGGAGTGTTCCAAGAAACTGCTTTGAATTAAAAACCCAATCCAAGTCTCTACATTGTGACTAAAACGATTCAGTCACCCAATCCAGCTGTCACAAACCGGTACACACATTGCGTCACTATTACTGAATATTACTCTGATATTTTTTCATGTTAAGACCTTATGATCTGTGACAGGTTGGCACCCCATCCTGGATTGTTCCCCGCCCTGCACTCGTAGCGTCCAGGATAGGCTCCGGACCTCCGCGACCCTGCAAAACACAAGCGGGTACAGAAAATGGGTGGATGATAAACTTACAATTAGTTTCAGTTACATAAGAGCCTAGGATGGTTTGTGAAAAAAATTTAAGTAGGACACATTGGTACAATTCAGTAAATTGAAATAAAACATATCCAGTTATAGCTGAATTGAATCATATCAAATTGTTACATCCTTTTGTATCTAGATACATATTGCATTCTCTGAGACGGAGAGATACATACCCCTACGAAGCCCTTCAAAATCTACTCCACTGCTGTACATATGAGTGACAGATTTACAAGAAAGTATCTTGGGAGTGTACTGGTGAAATTTCAGGTAAAGAAATAACAGGTGCAAGCTTTAGCATATGAGGTAAAAAACAAAAGTCATAACATTCGAAGAGAAGTTTGAGCTTATAAAGGTTATGGTTAGGTTACAAGCAGGCTGCCTCCACCATGTTTGTTGTATTGTGTGATTTTGCATAATGCAAGGTTTATACAGGAATGGATCTGTTGCTGCGCGTCATTGCAGAAATGCCTTTATTTCTGTGATTCACTATAGTTTTCATCCCTGTATGATCCCAAAATGTAAAGACCCTGGACAGCATTTTTGGCTGAGGTTGCAGATGGATCCTGGAATGAACATGATGCCTTATATGTAACTACAGGTCTAATATCTTAGGTCCATGAGGGGCTGTGTGGTTGTACCTTTTGGGAAGATACTCATCTCAGTTGGTTCGATGCCATTGCAGTTGTTTGATTCTGGGAGACATCAGGTTGTTGGCTGCGTGCTTCTTGTTTGGCGTGTTTCTCAGCAGTAAAGCGTTCAGAGAGTAAAAAAAAAGAGCACAAAAACATTACGTGCAGCCTGGGGTTCCTGTGATGATGTTCCTGCTCTCCCCCGACCTTCTAACACCACTCGGGTTTGTCTGTTCTCCTGTCTGTCCTCCAGTACAAACAAGTGGAGCAGTACATGTCCTTCCACAAGCTCCCGGCGGACATGCGACAGAGGATCCACGATTACTATGAGCACCGCTACCAGGGCAAGATGTTCGACGAGGAGAGCATCCTTGGAGAGCTCAACGAACCCCTCCGAGAGGTGATCATAAACAAATCAGCAATTATGTACATTGCCAGTCAAAAGGTTTTGCACACACTGAGATTTTCTACATTTGTATGTTACTCACTTAATATTTACTAAAAATACACTCAATATTCTTTGCTAACAAATAAATTTACAGTATGTTCACCATTTGAGTACCTTTATTAGGAAGAGAATGTCATATCTTTGATTCAACAGAGTAAGCACCTCTAGCAGTTATAACAGCAGAGAAATTGCAAGGCATTCCTTCTACAAGGGACATTAAATACTACTCTGTTTCATGGGATGAAACCGGTAACTAGTACATTTAAAGGTAAAGGACAGCCTAGAATTTGAATTTGCCATCACCACACAACCAGTTAATAGGAGTTCAGACATGAACTGTTACATACGGACATGGAACTAATGCATTTTGAAAGGAAGAAATGGACAGAATTTCATAATTTGAAATCTTGAATTCCAGCTCATTAACTGGATTCTTTCCATGTTATAAAGCAAACTTGTTTTATTTGACTTTTATGGCTGTTCACTGAACTTTCCAAGTGCTTAACAAGAATAAATAATCTGCAGTTTATTACAAAGAATAATCTGTGGTGCTCAAAAACGTTCGACTGAGTGTATCTCTAGCTGCACTGTGTGTCCCTTGAAGCTGTAAGTGGGTACATATGCTCGCTCCAGGGACACCCCATCATACTGTAGGCAGGCACCATTTTTTTAAATAGAATTTTCCGTGTGCAGGAGATCATCAACTTTAACTGCCGGAAGCTGGTGGCCTCCATGCCGCTGTTCGCCAACGCAGACCCCAACTTCGTGACGTCCATGCTGACCAAGCTGCGCTTCGAGGTCTTCCAGCCCGGCGACTACATCATCCGCGAAGGCACCATCGGCAAGAAGATGTACTTCATCCAGCACGGGGTGGTGAGCGTGCTCACCAAGGGCAACAAGGAGACCAAGCTCTCGGACGGCTCCTACTTTGGCGGTAAGGGGTTTGGCATAAATAATAATAAGCGGCGATTTATACCCGCACGCTTTAATAGCGCTAAGCTAGGCTGACCAGCAGGCCAGAAATGCGGTTTTAGTGCAAAATGGACAGCGTGCTGTTTAAAATACCACTCAAGCAATTAAACACCACAGCAATGTATTAAGAGGTGCCTGCCCGAGTTTAATTACATGGCTCCTTTGTCACATGATCCGAGCACCAGCTTTCAAGAAGCACCCACAAGCCAGAATGGGGGAAAGCAAACCATCCTCCTAAAGTCGCTGAGATTAATCAATGCTACTCAACAGAACAACAGGACAGCGCTACAATTTTTTTAGGCTCTCTTGCCCGTCGGACAAGATTGGATGCTGGATGTGATTTAGGCCTCCCCGCAGATTGTGTCACTGGGTTCGGAAAGCAAGAATCCCATTCACAAAATGTGATTACTCATGCCCAACATAATAGCTTACTGTAATCGCTGTGGATTTATGTTTAAGCATCCAAGGCATTTACATTTGTATTTATTTGTTTAGCAGATGCTTTTGTGCAAATAGATGTATGTAAAGAAAAGGCTCTGGTTTCATGTTGCTAAGTTACCAATGCTGGCCTTGCTGCAATGCTGGGGGGAGTCTCTTCAGAAGGACATGGGGAATCTCACTTTAGAAGTCTTTACGTCGCTTTCTGTAACTGTCAGATTCAAGGCTGCAGACCGCCAGTACTGGGTGTGCGGTATTTTTCGGGAAGACTTGCCGGGTTGTGAAGTGAATGTCACGGCGAATCAGATGGGGGGGGGGATGTTTGCCGGCCATATTGAGAAGCTGCACCCACCCACTCACACCCCCAGCAAAGAAACGTTGAGGGTGTCATTTAAAAGGATTTTTAAAGGAAAGTATCGCCGATTAGGTGGTTAATTTGCCTGGCGGGAGCGTCTTCGCGCTCTGTTGCTCGGCCTGCCGGTGAGGGGCTCTGCATCTCTGCTCCCGGAAAGCAGGGCATGTGGGCGGCCTGAGTCCCGGCCCGGCTCAGAGCTGCGAGCGCAGTAAGGCCCAGAAAGCCGTCAACATGTGCTGCGAGAGGGGGGTAATCCCCCTGGTGCTCAGAATGATCCCGTTTTGGCAGAGGCTCATATGCTGCTTGCTGCTCGTATAGGTAAAGTATGACAGGGAAGAAAGCAACCCAAAGGCAGCCTCTCTCCAAAACAACTGCACCAGGCACTACCAGCCCAAATCCTATAATATCCATTTATTCCACATGTTTGAGTCTCTTTGAGCCTTAGCTCCTCATTAGGCTGATCTCGTTCCATTATTAAATGTCTATTTGCTCCCAAGCGTCCGCCCAATCCATTTGACTTCTGTGCAGCTCTCAGCCTGCTCTCCCCCTCCGATACAGGGTTTGCCCTTTTCAGACACTCCCTGGCAACACCATCGCTTCCTTTACTTACCTCAGATCAGCTGGCACTGTGACTGCAGAGTGCAGCGACCTGTCGGACCTGTAGGTGGCGCCTGGGATCCAGCCAGCAGGGCTGCCAGTCAGAAGTGACAGATACTGAACCCCAGCCTGAAAACGTAGTCTCAGCTCCACTGAGCATCGCCTATTTGTTTAAAAAAGATATACAACAGTATATTTACTGAGGAAATTACAAGGCACCCATTCACCCAGGCACCCATTTTTTTGTTTGTTTGTTTTTTTGAACACTTGGAACCTTTTATGCTGCATTCGTCTCACCTTTTTAGTCTCACCCAGAGCACAGTGTAGCGGGGTGGGGGGGGGGCATAAAGCCCGAATCCCATGTTCAGTCACGCCCCACGAGGCTGGTGAAGCACCTGGAAATGAACAGCATTCACTCGTTTGCTTCATGAGTGAAGCTCCAGTGGGCATCAGGTGTGTGAGACGACAACGTGAGCATAGATTGTGACATCAGTTTGTGACTTTACGCAGGATTCCTTTAGATGAGTCATTACAGACCTACAATTCTGACCTTTTATGCATCATTTTAATGCAGATTAGTTACCGGCATAGGAAATATGAGGATTCGGACAGAGGTAATTTTGACGTTTTAATGCATCTTGCCCTAGTTTCAGACGTACATGTGACGTCCATTTAAAAGAAGATGGTTTATTAGACAAAATTCTACTGCAAGGGAAATTAATACATTGTGAGTGAAGCAGCTACTGATGATAAACTATCAGAAAACAGTAAAGACTTTAAGGCACCCGGGAATTTTATGACATCCAGTATCTAGCTGTCAATGGTCAGAGTCCCTCTTCCAGCTTAAGCTCTGATTATGCTGCTGCCAACATTACATTATACTTACCTGATCATTTTATCCAAATCAACTTACTGTACAGGTGAGGGTTACAGTTTATGTGTGCAACCTGGGAGTGGTACCCATGATCTTTGTGTTCATGTGCTTTTGTGTTCATGATCTAGCTGTGTTCATATGCTTATCTCACGTCCCAGTCCCCAGCATTGAACCAATGATATAAACGCATAAGCAGTGATGACAGGCTGCGATTAGGCTGTGGAGATGTATTCCTGAGCTTGGATTAAGGGAAACACATCCTCACAAAGGCTGTTCTTAAAATGAACATTCGAGTCTCATTTCATTGCGACATCGGTATAATTTCAATACGGCAGGTACAAAATTTGGTAAAAGGCGCTATCTGAGCACTTGGGATTTAATATGGATGTGAGTGTTGATGCTTCACCTTTAGTTTGTGTCACATAGCGCCCCCTGAAGGGGACACGTGTCCTATATCCCCAGCTAACCCGCAGACACGGATTTGTTGAAGCCAGTAAGAGCATTTCAGCACCCCTCCCCCCCACCTTGGACTGACCGTCTGAGTGGCTTGGACCCTCCCTGCACTAGAATAGTGTAGTCTGTGAGGAAATGAGGGGGGGGTACTGGTGGATCCAGATAAAGGGGAAGACAAAATAAGATGGTTCTGCACAGACCTCTGATCCAAGAGATGCAGGAGCTCATCACTTCACCTTACAGCCATTCCAGGGCTCCATTTCCCATGATTCCCTGCCTCACATTCTCCATGGCGTAGCTCAGTGGTGGCACCAGGGTCTGGCTAGTGAGGCTTTAAGCCCCAAATGTTTTTATTAAAGCCCCAAATCATTTTTACCCACGCTTTGTTCGTTACATGTATAATATGGTTTTGTTGTCATGAAAAGCCAAATGCAGAACTGCCATGGACACGGACTAAAGTATTTTGAAAGGAAGAGACGGACAGAATTTCGTAATTTGAAATCTTGAATTCCAGCTCATTGACTGGGTTCTGGGCTGAGCTCAGAATCTCCCCTTCTGTCGGTATGCTGACGGTCACTGGGCCACATGCGCATTCCTCCATGACTGCATTGTAGTGGGGGCTTCTGGGGAAATGCAAGGGAAATCAGCATGGTCCTCACGTCGCATTCAAATCCCACTCTTTTTAAAGCTACTTAGCGATGCAGCAGGTGTAGCGACGGACTGAATCCAGGTATTTTCAGGACGCTGTTAAATCGCTAAATGCCATTTTTAGGATGTCACACATGTAATGTCATTCTGTAAACAAACGCTCTGAATCTGATGGCATAACACAGGAAGAACAGACCCGTCTGCCATGCGGCTGAATGCAGACCAGTGTCTTCAAAGGATCTGGGAAGCTGAATAACAGACTGTAAGGATTTAAAAAAATTAATAATGAAGAGAATGTTTCATATCATTCAGCAAACAAAAGGCAGGCAGGGAAGATTCATCACTGTGATATTCAGCATTCTGCAGGATCTGTCAGGCTCCACAGTTTGTCCTTTCTCACAACCTGATTCCCACTCTCATGTCTCTCAGCAGACAGCCCTATTCAGAAAAGACCTGCAATGTACCGTTTCTGTATCCTTTCACGGTTACTTTTCTTCACCCAAAATGTACTATGCAGGGCAGCTGCACTCATTTGGGGATCAGTGGCAGCAAGTGCACATCCAGGACCTTCATGCAGCACATCACCAAGAGCATGACATCCTTGTGTTCAATGCCTGGATGGGCACTATCTATCTATCTGTCTGTCTGTCTGTCTGTCTGTCTGTCTGTCTGAACGAAAGTACATATGCATATATTCATTCATTCATTCATTCATTCATTCATTCCCCCAAAAACTTCCATATAAAAGCCTTACAAGGCAATTCCTCTAACAAGGGTCAGCTGGGTCTCATAAACTGGCCATGGATGGTGATCAATTACCATGGTAACGGAGAAGCTCAGCTAGCCCCATGCCGTTTTCGTTGCCATCCTGAGGGCTTAGGCTTCAATATCAACTGAAAGATATCAAATACTGTTCGGAGAAAACTGCATGTGGTTGTACCTGGTGTTTTATTAACATTAGATTTCAGTCTGTTAGGGAAACATCAAGTGCCTGGAACATCAGTATATCGGGATCAGCTGTTAGGATTTAACACTTATGCCGGTTAGGAGCTGATGTGAGTGGCGGTGATGTCATGTTCCCCTGCAGAGATCTGCCTGCTGACCCGGGGCAGGAGGACGGCCAGCGTGCGGGCGGACACCTACTGCCGGCTCTACTCACTCTCCGTTGACAACTTCAACGAAGTGCTGGAGGAGTACCCCATGATGCGGCGTGCCTTCGAGACCGTGGCGCTGGACCGCCTCGACCGCATCGGTGAGTCTGGCTGGTAGGCTGGCCAGTCCGGTGGCTCGCACGGGAAGCCTGCATCTCTCCTTCGGTCACGTAAACAAAGGGCATCTTCAGGAGGAATCAAAGCACGCCCTGGGGGTACTAATCATACTGAGAGGTGCGTCCGTCTGACAGTAAGTAGAAATATGTAGACGCGTTATTGGCAGGTGTGTGCTAATAGGGACCAGAAGAGGCAGGTAAAGCATCTGCGCATCAATCCGTAGAGCAACTGCTCACCGGGGCTGGCTGTCAGGCGAGCGATTCCAGGCCAGATGTGTGGCTCCGCCCACTGGAAGCTCCAAACATCTGTCTCCCCCTGAGGGTACCAGTGGAGGCCCATTTTGGGCCTGGAGGGAGGGAGAGAGAGTCTTCTCATGTCTCATTCTCTGTGAAAAAGGACAGCGCCTTTCATGCAGGCGTGAGCATCAGTGTGAGGCTGGGGGATTGTGAGGGTCCTGCTAAGGAAGGGACGGCCTCTGTAGGGCCGACCAGCAGCACGGCGATTAAAGTCTGCCACTTTCAAATGAAGCATTGCAAGGCTTTCCTGCTCTCAGTGAGGCTGTGCACTGCCTAAATAAATATCCAGTAGTATAAAAGGATAATTGCACTCTGTCAGCTAAATATGTCAATTTTACAGCCGAGCGTATTATTATACACTACACAGCTTAACCCCCCCTGCCAGTTCTGTCGTGTTCCAGCTTTCAGTGACTCCGCAGCTGTGGTTACACTCGCGTATCCTGTATAATCTCACATAGCTCCCCAGTCCGCCCCCAAGCATGCCAAAAACAAAACCCTAACACGCAGGGGTGGGGAGGGTCCTTCTCCAGTTCACGCTGTTGTCCCCTGAGGTGCTGCCTGTGTCCCGTTTCACCGTCACCACCTCTGTTCCCAGGGAGCGTGTCACAAGAAACTAATAGTTCCACCCCTCTAAATTCTCCTGTCCTGCTTTATCATTCCTCTTGAACCGTGTTAGTAGTTAATGCTGGTTTCAGTGCCGCATGGCACTGATCGGCAGTGGTGAATTAACCCAAGGCCTCGCTGCGGGTGACTCCTGAGCACATGGCGATGTTCTGCTTAATTGGCCGTAATCATCTGTTTGCAGCCCTGCCGACTGTACATTGTGTGCTGCTGATTTCTTGGCTTATGGGCTTAGAAGTGGGGGAGCCCAGTGATTTAACCGAAGGCCGGTTCATATTTTTCCACATGCAGACATGCACATACTGTACGATTATGATACAATTGACATAAACGCGGTTCTCTGCAGTTAAACTTATGGGCTTTTAGACCAAAGAGGTCTGGTTTATCAGATACCAGACAAAGCAGTCAATCAGTAGACCAGTCCTGTCCTCTTGTCCCACTGGTATTTGTGGTTTTATTATTCCACCACTGGGAAATAATCAGTCGGAAGGGATCTTCGCTGTGGATTTTAAGGTTGAGGCTCAATTATATGTTGATGTTGTCTTTTTAGGGAAGAAAAACTCCATCTTGCAACACAAAGTACAGCATGACCTCAGCTCAGGAGTTCTGAACTACCAGGAGAACGAGATCATTCAGCAGATCGTGCAGCATGACCGGGACATGGCCCACACCGCCCACCTGCTGCAGGCCGCCCCGCCCCCCGTCCCGCCCTCACCCACCCCCGTCATATGGGCTCCACTCATTCAGGCGCCCCTTCAGGCGGCCGCTGCCACCACCTCCGTCGCCATAGCTCTGACGCACCACCCCCACCTGCCCGGCGCTCTCCTCCGCAACCCTTTGCTGGGCTCGCTCAAGGACCCTCCTGGCCGCCTCAAGAAGTTCCATTTCCCGGCGTCGGCAGCCTCCCCGGGAGACTCCCCCTGCGACACCCCCTCCAAGCCGCACCCCGGCGTGGACAGCCCCCTGCTAGCTGCCTTCCGGGCCCATCACATGACCTCCACACCGGTGCAAGCCGGCCCCAGCCAGCAGCCCCCCGGCAGCAGTCCGCACCCGTGCCCCAGCGGCCTGGCCTCGCTCCGTTTCGGCTCCCTCCCCACCTCCGACTCCCTATCCTCCAGCAGCTCGCAGCTGCACACGCAGCCACGGCAAAAGCTGACGGCCTCCTGTAGCACGCCACCCACTGTGAGCCTCCCCCACAAGGGGGAAGCGGGGGGGACTCCAGGGGCCACCGCCGCGGCCCTCACACCCCACATCAGCCCCCTGGCCTCCAGCTCCGCCAGCCCCAGCATGTGCCAGACGCAGGCCCCCGCCTCTACACCCACGCAGGCGGGATCCCAGCAGCACCTCACAGGTAGGACTTCTAGCAGCCTGAATCTGTTCCACACCCCTTCCTCCGACTCCCTGTCATCCTGCCGGAGCCAGCACACGCTGCCCCCTGGGGGGTCCCCGCTGTCACTGGTGCAGGAGAGCCTGGCTGGCCTGCAGTCCGGCTGCCTTCCCCAGCTTCACCAGGAGCGATCAGCGCTAGCCTCCCTAGCCCAGTATGGCTCTGGCAATGCCTCCCCCTGCTACACCCCGCTGGCCCCCAGCCCCACGGTCCAAAGCCCTGTGACCGGAAGAACGTTTCACTACAGCGAACCCTCAAGTGCCACTGGGTCCCATAGCTCTCTTCTCCTGCCACAAGTCTCGTGCCCACCCCGGCTGTGCAGTCTGCCCCGAGCCGGCACGGAACCGGAGTCAGAGTCACTGCTAAGCTTCTTCTCCCCTGAAGCAAAAATGGCGTCGACCTCGCACCCTTCCCTGCCCCAGGAGGTGGGCCGGGCCACGAGCCGCTCCCCCAGGCTGCCCTCCCAGGAGTCAGATCCCTGCTTTACCCCCTTTTCCTCCCCAGTGCTGTCCAGCAGGCCCTGCAGCTCCATCTCGGGGAACGTGCCGCTCGTCAGACAGACGTCCCCCGGACCTATACCTCAGACTCATTCCCCAGGGATGTCCCCCATCCTACTACCACGACGGGGGCACACGTCCGAACTCGAGCCCATCCGCTCCAAACTGCCCTCCAATTTGTGAGGTTGGATCACACCCTCCTGTGGACCCTAGACTAGAAAAATAATCTCTGAGCGATGTTCCCCCCTTCCATACTCTGCACTGTGTTTTGAGTTTCCTAAAATAACTGTGAATTCAAAGATTAACTGGGTGACTTAGTACTTAGTACTTTTTTTTTTTTTGCTTTGCCATTTCCTGTTTTTTTACCCTGAAATATATATGTCGCCTGATATTTAAAACATTCTAGGAGGGTGTGAGATACTATCCATTCAGACAAGGGCCATGATTTAGTTTGTTTTTACCTATGCCAAATGAACTGACAGGGGCTGCGCCAGGTGGCTAGCACGGCAACATGACAGTATTCCGTGCAGGAGCCTATGCACTTTGTCCTGTGGCAGTAAGAAGAACTGTTTTTTGGTTACAGAGGTACAACCTTTATGAGCTTACGTGTTTCACCATGTCACACAGGATCACGTGCAACGACAGTTGTGATTCTCCGGTGATTTGCGGTTGACTTATTTGCTATTTGCTCGTATTGAAAACTTGAATTCTGTCGTTCTGATTAGCGAAACTTTTGGGGGACATAAGCCAAATAGAGTATCTACTGGATCTGTTTTTTTTCCCTTCGTCTTCCAGGGTCACACAGTGATGGTTTGGCTGCTTGTATCAGTATACTGTGTGTGTGTGTGTGTGTGTGTGTGTGTGAGAGTATGTGCAGGGCCAGATTAATGCATAGGCCATCCTAGGCTATAGCCTAGGGCCCCGGCAAACATCAGGGTTCCACCCCGCCTTGGGAAAAGTGAAATAGTTAGTTAAATCGGCAACACCAGAGTGTCCATGCTGATGTCAGCCAAGGGCCCGCAGATAAGATGATCTGCCCCCCTGTGTGTGTATTCATCTCTCAACTTCCAGGCCAAATCAAGGGATGCCTTGATTGATCAAAAACAGAAATGTTTTGATTTTGTGTGCATACGTTAATGTCCCCGTGTCCTTCTACACCCTCAGTGGGTTAAGAAAGGAGTCACTAGCACCGGCAATTAAGATGCAAATTTGCACCTTAGAGAAGAAACTGTCTGAGCCCGTGGTTTGAGTTCAGTGGTAGTTGGAGGGACCCGTGCAAAAGAACAGCTCTAGTTCTTAGCTGGTGAATGGTGATGATGGTGGACAGCTGACCGCCCGAGCTTTGATCTTCCAGCATGATCTAACAGTCAAGCATCTAGTTAGTGGTTCACTGTTCCAAAAGGTGCTCTGCCAAAGCTGGATTTACACAGATGTGTGTTTCATTAAACATTTCTCTTAACATTTCACCAAGCTGCATATTTAATTTCCAGCTTTATTACGAGCCCTGCCCCCCAATTTCTGTGGATAGACTGAACACCAAAAGAACTGTTGACAATTAGGAATTATGATTATTGACTTTGACAGTACTATTTGGGACATTGACTCTTGAAATAGAACAGATATCATTTACTAGATGATGTCAACCTAAGTTTTTTTTTCTCCCCCCATTCAAGCGACAGAATAGATTGTCGTATTATTACAACAAAGGATGCAGGCGCCAATCAACATCAAGTTCTGTGTCGGGGATTAAGGAAACAATGGGATTCAGTAGCAATAAGAAGACAGGATTGAGGTTTAGCATAATAGGGAGGGTGTAAATCCTGGTGGAAACACTGTAACTGTCTGGAACCAACACTCAAAAGTTGTCAGACCTGTTTCGAGCATTATATGAGAAAGCTGCTATGGGGCTATAAGGGCACTCAGTTAGCAAAATGTCATATCGGATCGTGGCGAATATCGTGTCACCGGATGATGTGATTCAAACGGAATGTGAAGAGAGCCCTCTAACCCCTCAGGATCGAGCTGAAGTGTGCAGACCGTGATGGAGAAAGTGCCGTCATGGAAGCCATTCCCAGGCAGAAACATTAACAGGGAAATTACAGATGCATTCAGATATACAAACATCATAGAACTTTATACTCAGCATGGATGGCATTGTCCTTCACAGAACTTAATAAAATAGATATTACATTAATTAAATATTGATTATTAAAATATATTAAGCAAAGAGTAGGTTAAATATTTTAAGTAAATCTTAAAAAAATGTTGAAACATTTTTGAATATGTAACAATGGCAAATTTTACACAACAGGTGGGCATTCTTATTAAAAACATTTAAAAATGTCTTATTTTATTGTCTTTTATGTCAGGCTGTTACTGTAAGTAGATGGCATTTTTCCAAATACACAAACACTGAGGAAATTTAGAGGATTTAAACTGACTTGTTTGTAGACACCTTTCTTTCTTAATTTTAAAAGTGAACGCATTCTCATACAGGGAGAGTTAACACGTTTTCTTAGTAAATCGCAGGTAGACCGCCATCTGTCCATATATAATCAGCAAACGAAATGCCAAAACTTTGGAAGGCAGGCCTTTCTGAGAATGTTCGGCGGTTGCTATGGTGCTGTTTCACAAAGATCAATTAATCATAGCATCACACTGCAGTGGTGTTTTCAAATGAGTAGACAGGACCTCTTTCTGCCTTTTCAACTCTCGCGCGACCGCAGGTGAATAATGTCCACCTAAAATAGTATTAAGAAGCCGAGCCATGATTTACGATTTCCGTTTGCTGACTGACACATTAATCAATAAATCAGAGGCGGCCCAGAGCAAGGCCTGTCTTTCCTCACCCCCCATCACGAGGAATGGCATACAGAGTCCCCTGTACCCATTAGATTTGACTCGTGTATAATTCAGGCAAACCAGCTATGTTTTGGTTGACCCTTGTCCTCTTCAGAAGCTTGGGCTTTTAGAATGGCCTGCATGGTTTCCATGGATATATTATTACAGACATTGCCATTCAGACTTCAGACAAGGGAGTGTTGTTGCAATATCATGATTAGGAGCACAGCTGTTTACTTCTGTGCAGGAAACGTTTTCTGTTTTTCTGCGACTGTCTCTCGGGTAGCAGAGCTGCAAAAAAAAATGTCGCCTGATTTATTCTTGATAGAAATCTGTTCCCCAAAAGAACATGAGAACAGCCGGCTTATTTAATGGCAGAGCTGGCTGACCAGAATGTATCGCGCGACAGTGAGATTCAGATCACCATGTAGGGAGACAGTGACATATTAAAGGAGCAAGGTAGTCGCCCAGGGTTGCGGGTTGATGTTGAAGCAGGAGAGGAGAAGTGGGATGACTTGAGCGCACCTGAGACAACTTGGGCTCCCCTCTCCTGCCCGGTGATTATTTGTAGGCTCTGACTGAAGTTTCCCTAAGGATGGATTATTGATTTGCCAATTTGAGGCAATGACAAGGCCATTTGAAATAGCAAACAGGTGTGGCCCTGAAGTAGCATTCCAGACAGGATGCCTTCCTGTCACTTATACGATCGATGGTCATAGATGTAAAATATTAGTTTTGCCAATGAAACGCATCCAGCAGACATTAGTGGTGAATTATCAAGCATTTCATATATTCTAGCGGAATGAACTGGCCAGCTGGGCACTCGGGCAGAATGACAGAACCTCAGAACGGCAGAGTTCACACAGGTGTTAGATGCCGGGGTAATGCGTGTTAGAATTTGAATTAATTTCTATTTCGTAGCAGACTTTGAAAATGTACACTTTACTCCAGCTATGCTCAAGTAGCTTTCGGCTGTTTTGCTCACTACCTCAAATCCGCTTGCCAGCCAGCCGTGGCGATTTGGCCCACCGTTAGATTTAGGTATGATACATCATGATGTATACTGAACATCAAGTGCAGCAGCTGTCTGCCTGTAAAACCCAACCCATCAATTTTCTGTAATGAATTCCACTTTCGGGCAGTTTAGGAATCTAAGCTTTCTGCAGTATTTACCATTGAATGTGTGTTATTGGCCAGTAGGTTACTGTTACAAGGGAGCAACAGAAGCAGTGCAGCATTGATCAAAAATCATGCAGGCCATCATCGGAAATCAACCACAAAATAAGGGAAAAACAGCCACATTCACGGATATAAGTTATCCATTCACACCTCCTGATATATTTCACAATACCTCATAAGCACATTTTAAGTGAATTTTGGCAGGACTTCAGCTCATGCGCATATGTGAACAATGTTGGGATCGTACCCGTAACCATGGGGCCAGGGAAAAAGCCAGAAGTGCTGCTTTAAAGTAACTGAATTTCACTACATTCATTTGAAGTGGACATATTTGGACAGATTTGAATTCAGACCCTTTTAATTAAGGATTCTCTTCAGTCCGGCACTGAAATGTGGCTTTTTATTTCACCCAAATGGATTTGCCGACTGTGGAGATTTTACAAACTTCAGAAAAACCACCCCCCAACAAAAACAAAAAACACTGAAAAGTGTGCATTTCATATTCGGAAATTTTGCACCCATGTCATCTGTTAATATTTGTTTTATATTGTGCATTTATTCAGAACTGTCTGTACAATTCATTCTTCCAGTATTTGTTTTAGAAACTTATCATTATAAATATGATAAGCAATGCTCACCAAATGTGTGTACTTGCAGTAATCATTATTGTCATTTTATTTATTTATTTATTTATTTAAGAACTCTTGATGTTAATCATATGACATTTAAGACATACTGGACATTGTGTAAAATACCTATTTCTAATAGAAGGTTTTGTAATCAGAGCGACAGTCCTACAACAACTGAACAGACTTGTTTATGAAGGAATTTTTTTTGACCGATTTGCTATTGATTCATGAATATCTATCTATCTACCTATCTAACTATCTGTCTGTATATATATATATATATATATATATATATATATATATATATACATAAGCATATACATATAGAAATATATATATTTTCTTCCTGTGTTAAACTTGGAACTCTGGGAAAAAGCAATAAGGAGACATCAAAGGTGTATCATGATTGGCTATGTTTGCTGGCCACCGTGATGAAATGTTACTAAAACAAATATTTATGACGATATATGTATGCGAGAGAATAAAGATGAACAAAAGTTGGGTTGTTGATAAGCACATGCACTGGTCAATATTATAAAGGTACGAAATAAAGTATAATGAACATTGGCTGTTGGATCATTACAGCATTATTTGTGCCTTAAAGATTATCAGCAACGAGCCGTATAGATGACTACCGAGAGATGGGGAGGGAGGGTACCGAGAGAGATGAGATGGAGGGAGAGTGCGATGGAGAGGAAGAGAGAGAGGAGGGGAGTGAGCCGGGCCACTAAGGTTGTTCTGCATTTATGGACAGCACGTTGCAGGAAGAACTGTCAGAAACTGCACCTGTGAGCATTCAGCCATCTGCTTCATTACAAAACCCCCTTGAGGTAACCTTCCCCTTCCCGGTGTGTGGACTCATTGAAGACGAAGCCCTTTGTCAGAGCATTTCTATTCTAATTATACAGAACTTGCTCTTTGTGAGACAGGCTCAGGAAAGGAATGTGCAGAGGCAGACCTGTAACAAAAGGAGGGGAATTACAGAAAGAAGAGAAACCAGCATTTGTGTCAATGGCCCAAAAATTAGGATAAAATTTATAATTGACCAGAAAGCACTATTTCAGCTCAAAGAGGCTATATCATTCGTACAATATACTACTTTAGCTTACAAACGGACAGTCAATAGCTATTTTTTACTTGATCCTGTCTGTTATTGTCTTGGTGAAGATCTTTTGCCAATCTGTGTTGAAATCAGCCCTGAAGCATGAGGATTTCTCTAGAGGCATCAAGCTGCTTAACAACTGATGGTGAAAGTAAACAGATCGGCGCTGAAGCTGGATGGTGCCAAGAGAAAGAAGGAGCGAGAATCACTGATTTTACGCAATTCTATTTGACTGGAGAGTCTCCCTTTGCAATCAGGAATTCATCAGGGTGTTCCAAAATGTTAAGTGGCAGGCTGTGCTAATCTCTACTTCGGGTTGCTGGTCTTGGCACAGTGTGGTTTGAGACACTTTTTGTTTTTTTCCCATGAAAACCCAAAGGAAGCTGCCTCCCTCAGTCCACTAATGAACTTGAAATAAATAATCAAAACAACAGATTTTCTAAAGACAGCTGAGAGCACTCCGCTCTACCCCACATATCCATTCTGGGGATTTTTTCAGTAACACTTTACTTAAAGCAATAATGCGTTATAGACACCTTCATAATATACAATAATGCATTCATAAAGCATTATACACATGACTATAACTATTTATAAAAAGGCATAATACATTATAGTCATGTTTATTATGCATTATGATTGCTCTATGAAGCTCATGCATAATGCACTATAAATACCTTCATAATGCAGTACAAAGCATCCTTAATGCTTATACTGACCTTTATAATGCATTATAAAGGTATCTAAAGTAAAGCATTCATAATGCATAGTAAACATGGCTATAAGGTGTTATGCCTTTTTATAAATAGTTATAGCCATTTTTATAACATTATGAATGCGTTGTAATGCATTATGAAGGTATCAATAATACATTAAATGTGACTGCTTTAAGTAAAGCGCTACCATTTTTTCTTTTTGGACAAGCATAAAACACACAGGTAATAAAGGTGAAATCTCTACCACCAATGTTTTTAGCAGAACTCCTGATCAGCAGATTGTAAAACCATACAATTGAATTCTACTTCAATGCATGACTGATCTCTTCTTACTTCAGTTCAAGGACAGAAGTGTTTTTTATCTCTTATATTTCACTGATTGTTGCAGCATAAACAGCAATGCTGTTAACAATGACTAATGCAATGCAAAAAAATGCTCCTACCTCCAGCATTCAGAGTTAGGGTCACAGTCTTTTGGCTAAGCCCCTACACACCCAGTAGGTGGAAGCATGTAGCCTGGCTGGATGAATACAGGGATTTTTCTCCCCAAGAAGAGCTAAAGTAGCATGTCAATGTGGCGCCACTGTAACTAGTGTGACAGAACCGACAAGGATCTCACTGCAATTCATCACAGTCACAGCAGCAATGGCTCTACCGTACGGATCATTACGGAAATGATGGCTTGTCGTTAACATTGTCATTAAGAATAGAATGGAGGTACTTTATTCATCACCATTGGGAAATTGGGTAGCTTTCACACACCCCATCATGCTCCCTTTGAGAGACACAGAGACACATTTATATACCGATAAGAGCAATCTTTGGAGTCAGAGAGCAGGGTCAGACAGTGTCCAGTGCCCCACTGGAGTAGTCAGGGTTAACGGACTTTCTCAAGGTGCCAATGCTGATATACTATATGGATAAAAGTATTGGGAGACCTGGCCATTACACCTACAGGAACTTTTATTACATCCCATTGTAAATCCATGGGCATCAATATGGAGCTGGTCCCCCCTTTGCAGCTATAACAGCTGCCACTCTTCTGGGAAGCTTTTCCACAAGATTTTGGAGTGTGTCTGTTGGAATTTTTGCCCATTAATCCAGAAGAGCCTTTGTGAGGTCAGGCACTGATGTTGGACGTGATGGTCTGGCTCACAATCTCTCTTCTAGTTCATCCCAAAGCTGTTCGATGGGGTTGAGGTCAGGGCTCTGTGTAGGTCAGTCAAGTTCTTCCACACCAAACTCACCCAATCATGTCTTTATGGACCTTGCTTTGTGCTCTGGGGGACAGTCATGCTGGAACAGGAAAGGGCCTTCCCCAAACTGCTCCCACGAAGCTGGAAACATAGAATTGTCCAAAATGTCGCTTAGTTTACTTGGAACTATGGAGCCCAGCCCAACCCCTGAAAAACTATTCCATACCATTATCCCTCCTCTACCAAACTTTACAGCTGGCTTAATGCAGCCAGGCAGTAACATTCTCCTGGAATCTGCCAAACCAAGACTCGTCCATCAAACTGCCAGACAGAAACACGATTCATCACTCCATGGAACACATTTCCACTGTTCCAGAGTCCAGTGGCAGTGTGCTTTACACCACTCCATCTGATGCTTGGCATTGCACTTGATGATGTGAGGCTTGCATGCAGCTGCTTATCTATGGAGACCCATTCCACAAAGCTCCCGGCACACAGTTTTTGTGCTGGGGTTAATGGCAGAGGAAGTTTAGAAGTCTGCAGAGTCAACAGAACATGAAGGACTTTTACGCACTATGTGCCGCAACATTCAGGGCATGGCCACAGAGCTCCAAACAAGAGCACAAAGTAACATCATAGTCATCTTCCAAAACAATTTCTTTGGGAATAATAGTAATAATTTATACAAATGAATTATGTACCCACATTATCTTTAGTTCTCCATCTAATATCTGTCTATCAGATGCCAAATTAAGCGGTAAATAAATTTAATTCAAATAAGCTCACAATATGATTACTCAATGTAAAAAAGCTTAAAAAAAGCATATAAAGTCAAATTTACAGAAGGAAATAAGCGGCCCAGGGAAATAAGAGATGGAGAGAGACATAAAGCCTAATGAACAATGAGCAATCAGAGCTAGAGACCCTGGCTATCCTAATCACTCATTCCAGCAGAAAGGACCACACTCCAACGAAGCCAGCTTCTCATAGCAGCAGCAGGTCTCATTACAAGAGGCCCATCTCCTGGCTTTTCAAAGGATACATGTAGTCAATCAGTGTGCAAACAGGGTAATTACCTTCAGACCAATCAGCAAACTGATCACTCAACTACTCACAGACATGAGTTGACCAAAAATTTGCCTAATTGGCAGTTGTAGCCGTACTTATAACTCAGGGTACTCCGAATATAATAAGGCTTTTTTTTATTATTCTAAATGTTTTCTCATCCTGAAACCAGATGTGAATAGAACTGGAGAATGAGGCACATTTAGAGAAGAGACTTTCCAACACATCTGAACTCGGAAACCCTTGAAGCAGCACTAGTCTGAATGTGCTACCAATTCACTTTAAGCACATTCTTTTGTACTTCTTTGATTTTAATGAAAATGCACAGAAAATTGAGTCATCCAATCAAATACAGGTTGATTTGATTTTTCAAAAAATTGACATTTACTGCTGTTGAAATGTTGAAGAAGAACCTGTCTTCCAATTGCTACCCCAGGGTGCCAGGGGGCAAGAGATAGGGGGGGCAGCACCGGATACTGTGCCGGGGAACATTGCAGATAGGATGGTTCTATCGAAGGAAAGGTTTAGAGTGATTGGAACAAACATAGCAAACCTCTCAAGTAAAATTTGAGTATAAAGCATGAGGATTAGGTTATAAAATGGCACAATCCTGCATTTTATTGGTTAAGTGTGTGGATGTTAGATAGTTGTTCGGTAACGCTAAAGATGTAAGGACTTTTGGTGACGCTTTACATTAACTGCACCTTCATAATGCCTTTGTAATGCATTCAGATATTGTTCAGTGCACCTTCATAAGACATCCATTATTCATTCATGGAACATTCATAGGCAGCATGTAAGTATACCTTAACAGCTTTAATATACATTAATAACAAGCATTATATGATAATAAACATTACAGTATAATCATATAATGTTTGTTATTAATGTATATTAAAACTGTTGTGTTATGCTGATTATGAATGTTCTATGAAGGCACAATGAATGCATTATGTAGGTGCAGGTAATGTAAAACCTTACTAAAGTTCTTACATCTTTAGCAATGGGAAAACAAGCAAGAGAAACAATCCGAGCACAGATGGGACAAACAGTTTTTAATGTGCGGTTGGTTTGGGGTGAGAGACAAACAGAATAGTGTTTTACCATCCCTCTCTCCCTCCCTTCATCCATCCATCCATCTTCCAGCCATGTATCCAATACAATGTAGCAGGG